GCTCTGAAGTGCCGCGAGCTGGGCGATCAGCTTCATCCATGGCCTTTGTGAACATGTGAGCAGAAAACAGGGGTGCTTAGGTGTCTGTCTGTGTGTTGTTGTTTTTGAGAGTACCCTGTTTTGGGGTTGGTTTAAAGGGAACTCAAAGGAATCCAATCATTTTAGGGCTCCCCTTGTGACACATTCAAAATTCTCTCACTATCATCTGAAAATTGCGGTTTCTAAACCAATTTAGATGGGTATGTGAAAAATGGGACCCCTGAAAGTGGCTTTGAATGCCCGCAAATTTCCAGGGCTTTGGGCGTTGGGATGTGTGTGTGTGTGTGTCTCAACAACTTGTCAGTTTCCCTTTTGGTTTGGTTTTCAAATCAAAAGAAGGTTTTCCAAAAGGACACGCCCATGCGTTTGCCCAAACAAACATGAGGAGATTAGGCTTGTCATCCAGGCTCTTGCGGTTGAATTGTAGTGGCTCTCCATGTACCAAACCGCAGAAATTGACCAAGCCGTGCCACACGTCTACCGTCGCAAGTCTGAAGCTGCCTTTCCAAGCAGTTTGGAAGTTGAGAATGTGGCTGGCTCTATGGAACTCTGAAGCAAACTCACCAAGAGAGGCTTTCCCTTACCAACACACTACCGTGAAAATGGGGAAGGACATACGGAAAATACTTTGGGCGGTGACTAAATATCGGTTATGTCCCCCATGCTTCCCTTGGGTGGATTGAGCCGTATACAGATCGGTTGGTGCTCGGTCCCACCGGACAGGAACCATCCCGACCTCCCCACCTTGTTCGGTCGCTATCCCAAATGAGGAAAAATAGCTACGCTTTAGAGTACCTGGCTATAAATTTACCTCCCTCAATACCCCGAAACGGTTTTGGTACCCCAAGCGGAAAACCGAAAAGCACAGGGCCACCTGTGATCCTCGAAGATCCCCAGGGACACCTACGGCTACACCCGGGTTTGTGTTCTGTGAGGAACCCTTAAAAACATCTCGGTGATTCCATTTGTGGATAAAAAGGGAACCGGCCTTCAAAAAGGGAAGTTCCCTGTGTTGAAAGGGCGGTCCCCTTTTTATATATAGTAAATGGGAACATGGTTCTGGTTACTGGCCACTGGAATCTGGGCACAAATCGTTCTAAGTCAACACGGCCGCATCGAGGCTATGGCGCAAGCAACCGGAAGAGCGGCGCCAGCGGGTTTTTTCGCCGGTGCCCAGGTAGGCTTACACCTGGACGGGTGGGTCCCAAAAGGCAGAGTCTCTTCCTCACGATGTTTCCTTGCAAAATGAACCCCTCCTTTGTCTCTCTTTTTCGGGATGGGCCCTATGTTAATGCTTCCCCCCTTTTCCCTCGTTTGTTGCCTGCCTGCCCTGTGTGCCTGTTGTTTGGGTGGGTTTCCCTTGGAAGTGCCAGAAACATGATTCCCGATACAATATACAACAAGCACCAAGTGGATGTGCTCTTTGTGCTCGAGGCGGGATCAAACACCGGCTGGTGAACGGACACGCCGCTGACATGCCAAAGTGCCCAATGGCTCAAGCTCAAGGATAGTTTCGACTACCCTCAAACCACTACGCAAATATACAACCTTTGTGCAGGTGCCTAAACAAAGGTTGTATGTCCTACGTGTGTCCAATTGGGGGCAGCATTTTGGGGGTAGTGGAAACCATCTTGGACAGACAAGAACTGAATCACACAAGCTATGCCCACACATCACCAGCAGAATAGCAAAGGGGCTGATGCCAACTGGTCGAAGACGCCAAGATACTGCTTGCCTTGAGCCTTGACAGCCAACTTGTGGGTGTCTTTACCCCAAAATCGGTCGGCTTCCTTTCGGTTTCACTTATGTATCCAAAAGGGTCTCCTCAATTCTTGGAAACACCCTTGTGAATCCACAGATGTCCGGACACTTCTTGTCATGGTTAGTGGGTAAGCAAAAAAAAACAAGGCGCAGCTATAGATGTACAGTTTTTCGAACTTTGAACCGGAAATAGAGCTGCTAGCCAACGAACAATACAGGAAAACTGGAAGACAGCCAAAGAAGGGGCTTTTCATTGGTCTGCTTGTGCTGCACTTCGCAACCCAACGTTTGGCAAACAACTCTCCCAAGGCCTGGCGCCATGGTTTCCAGCTGGTTACGCATGGAGCCCAGCCTGGCCAGCGGAACTTCTCTCCAAGCGAAGCAACGGTTCCGTTCCCACCTTTGGGGCCGAGCTTGGGTCGGTTTAAAGCTTGGCGTCCCATGCCAAGGGGGTTGCCCCAGATTGGCTAGGGCCACACTTGCGCGGCACGCAAGCGCCGCGCGCAGTAACGCAGAAACGAGTTTTCGTTGACCTCTCGGTTTGCAAAGTGTTCGTGTGGTTTGTACGAGCCATTCAAGAAGCAAAGGACATTCGAAAGGTATTCAGGGCTCAGGGTGTTCAGGCCATGTCCATGAAACGTGTATGTTGCGGATGCAGTGCCACTGCTTGCACTGCGCCGCTAAGGACATCCAGGGCAGC